TGTTTTAGGAGAAAAGAGGTTGTTAATGGAAGAGGAAACAAGTCAAAATAAGTGTTATCTGTTTACTACAGACCTTCTAGCCCCTCTTCCTCTTTCTTGTAGTGATGCACACCTGCTTTCCCTGTTTGTCCTTAACTAGTGCTGCTGTTGACTTGACCTGACGACCGAACTACCCATTTTTTAACTTTATCATAATCTGAATTTACTATTCTAGTAAATAGGATAGAGAATACCTAACATAATACGAAAGGGAGACAACAGTAAATACTTGATTTTCTAACTGATAGGTAATTCAAAATGGGAGAATGGGAGATCATATTGCCTACATATTGTTTTTATAGGGTATGTATACTAATGACCTAAATCCGCTCTTAATGACAACTTCAAGTTGGACATTCTACAAAAGATAAAAAGGAAAGTTTTAATTTTTAAAAAGTAAAATAAGAAAGCAAAGAATAGGGGTGCCTGGGTGGCTTGGTCGGTTAAGCGTCTGACTCTTGATTTTGGGTCAGGTCATGATCTCACGGTTTTGGGTTCGAGCCCCATGTCAGGGTCTGTGCTGGCAGTGAGTGAGGAGCCTGCTTGGGATTCTCTCTCCCTCTTTCTCTGCCCCTCCCCAAGTCACACGCACACCCGTGTCTTTGCTCTCTCTCAAAATAAACACACTTAAAAAAAAAAATGGATAAAATAGTAATGTGAAAACTCTGAGGTCATATGAGGTGGTATACATACTGGTGCCATTCAAGAATTTATTTAAAATCAAATGTTTGTCAATAAAGAGTAAGAGTTGGAGATCTTTAAATACCCAGAATCAAGATGAACCTTTGCTAATGGTGTCGCCTTCTGAGTTTAATTACAGAGCTCCTGCAAGATTTTATTACCTTTCTTTTCTTTTTGACCTCTTCTTTAGAAATAATTTCCAACTACAAAAAGTTGCACGAATAAAAATGATAACAATAAAAAGAAAGGGCCAACCTTTATATACCCAGATTTACTTACCCCAAATCTTGTTTGCTTTATCATTTCAGTTGTCTCTCTTTCTCTCTTTTTTCCTCCCCCTACCCCTCCTACACACTTTTCCCCCCCTAAAACGTGTAGAGATAAATCAGCTATCCATCATGGCCTTTTGTTCTAAATGCTTCACTTGTATTCCTGATAGAGATATTCTCTTACATAATCACAGCATAGTTATCAACTTCGTAAAGTTATGTCGATACTTTAATGTCTGTATTTTTCAATTTTATCAGTTGACCTAGTACAGGCATACCTCATTTACTGTGTTTTACAGATACTGTTTTTACAAATTGCAGGTTAGCGGCAACCCCGCATTGAGCAAGTCTGTCGGCACCGTTTTTCCAACAGCATTTGCTCACTTCGTGTCTCTGTGTCACCACTGGTAATTCTTGCAATATTTCAAACGTTGTCATGTATTCGTTATGGTGTTCTGTGATCAGTGACTGTGACTAGCTGAAATCTTATATGATGGTTAGCATTTTTTAGCAATAAAGTATTTTTTAATTAAGGTATTATGTTATTTTTTAGACATAATGCGATTGCACACCTAGTAAACTACAGTACAATGTGAACATAGCTTTTATTGGCACTGAAAGACCAAAAGTTCATTTGACTTGTTTTATTGAGGTGGTGTAGAATCAAACCCACAATATCTCCGAAAGATACCTGTGATGTCTTTTATAGTGTCCTTTACCTCTAGTGTAGCCTCTGGTCTAGGGTCAGGTAGTTCATTTATTTGTCCCATTAGACTCTCTTAATCTAGATTTTTCTACAGACTTTGTCTTTTCTGACATTGATATTTTTGAAGAATACAGTCTCTCTGCCCTTTTATTTAAAAAAATAGACATTTCTTCATTTTGTGCTTATCCAGTGCTTCCTGGTTATTTAGATTGTACATTCTTGGCTTAGAATACTGAGTAGGTGATGTGTCCTCTCCTAGGGAATCACATCTGTCACTTATTGATGATGTTAATTTTGATCATCTGGTCAAGGTATTATCTAAATTCTCCACTCAATAGTTATTGGAGTTTTTTTGCTTTTGTTTCTATTTTTAGTTTCTTGTAACTAATAAGCAGTCCGTGGGGAGACACTTTAAGACCATGCAAATATCCTACTCCTCATCAAAATTTCCACCTTCTTAGACTTAACACCATTGCTGAATTTTGCTTGATGCAGTCTTTACTGTGATGGTTGCAAAATGCTAATTTTTCTAACTTCACCCCTCCCGTCATATTTGCCAGTAGACACTTAGCATTTTATTGCAGTAACAGCCCTCCCTTCTCCCCCATGTATTATTTATCTATTTGTTATCAGTATAGACTCACGAGTTCTTTTTGTTTTCTTCTTCAGTACATTATAATTCAGTACTCAATTATTTTGGTCCTTAAATTGCTCTGCTCAGTGACCAGATTTGGTGAATGGTATACTTCTATCTGGTTTGAACATATCCTTACTCTCTAGAATAATAAGATTCTAAAGTCTCATCTTGTGCCTACCCTGCCCCAGCCCTTGGAATCAGACATTTCTCTGAGGAGCCTTGATTCCTTTGGTGGGAAGCAGAATTGGATAACACAACCCAGGCACTAGGTTTGGGTGTATTGCTTTCACAGCCACTGTATACACGTTGTAAACATAAGCGTAGAAGCATTAGCATATGGGTTAAGTATTTCTTAGAGGTACAATAAACAGTTCTTGAGAATGTAGTGCTGTCTCAGCTCATAGAGCAGAAAGCAAGGTACAGTACTAAGGAATGGGCAGTTTTTTTGTCAGCAGTCTTACACTGCTAAAATTTTCTTGGTTTTCAAAGCAAAAACATAAATGAAGCTAACTTGAAGGCCAGATAGGATTTCAGTGGGCATTTTTGGTACAGGAAGGTGTTCCAGGAAGAAGAAATGACATTGACAATGACATAACTGAAACAGTAACAGTAACAATTATGCTTAAGTGGTGATGCCCAATTTCTGCCCATGTAGGGAATAGTAGAAGACAAGGAGGAAGAAAAGGCTGTTTGAGGTCATGTTTAGAGAACTTTGAATATCAGATTTAGGATTTGGGGTCTTTATAAGATAATACAGAACTGTTGAAGATTTTTGAATAATGTCATAACAAGCTTAACTCTGACTCAGAGATTAATCTAGAAGATAGGTAGAGTTTAGATTGAGGAAATTGCCAGTTAAGAACTGTAAAGAGGCTGTTATAATAGTTCAGGCAGGAGGTACGAGGATTTGAACTAGGAAATGAAAGAGAGAAGTAGATTAGAATAGTGGTTTTCTACCAGCCCTTTAGAATCCCAGGGGGTGGGGCCGAGCTAGAGGGAGGGAGGATGTGTGAGCACTTTTGGTGACAGTATGGGCATTTTCAAGTAAGTATCTCTTTAATGATAGGATTGAGGAACAAAGAAATACAAAGAGAAATTTTGTTAGAAAAAAGTTAAGGTCAACATTTTATTTGCAATTTTTTTGTTGTTGATTAAACCCATACTTCTTTTATATTCTCTTTTTCTAAAGTTTTGGGCCTGGATGATCAGGAAAACAGTGTTGTCCTGAGCTGAAGTTAAGTCAAATCGTATATATTTTAAATACCAAAAGGTCAGTGTCACAAAGCCATGCACTAATACCCATTCTCCAGAAACAAGGTGTTCATAGCCAAAACCTTTAGAGTTACCCTGAACTCTTTTCTTTTGCTTAGACTATACAGGGAATCCCCCATGAGCTCCTCTGGGCTTGGCCTTCCAGATCTGACACCCTGCAGTACCTCTGGTGCTATCAACCTAATTGGAGCCATCACATCTCTTGGCTTCGGCCTGCTCTCCATGCCTCGGTCCTTCCCGCTATAGCCTGTCCATCTTCCTTGTGCTTCCTCCAAAGTGGAGGGCGTGCTTCCACCTTATGGCCTTTGCAAAGGCTATTCCCCAGATGTCAGCATGGTTAACTGGCCCAAGTTTAGATTTTGCTCACATGTTACTTTCTCAGTAGGGTCTACCCTGTGCTCCCTGTTGACAGTCCCCCTCCCCTCCCACACACGTTTCTAGTCTCCCTTTATCTTGTTCTATTTTTTCCTGTGTTATTTATCACCTCATATACTGTGATTATTCATTATGTCGTTTGTCTCCTGACACCAGAGTTTGAACTCCACAGGGCAGCGATTTTTTTTTTTTTTTTAATTTGTTTTGCTCAGCGGTCTCTCCCCAAGCAACATACTCATGCCCAGCTCATAGTAGGCTCTCCATACACATTGTTAAAAGAAGGAAGGACAACTAAGAGCATAAAATCAGTAAGCTTTGTTACCAGGGTTCCGGCTCATAGCAGATTTGAGAACATAAATAAAAGATGGGATACTGCTTGAATTGACCTGTGTTCCGTGGATCTGAGCCTATGCTAGTAATTGCCCTGGATAAAACTGGTCTGGAAAATACCGCATATACTATCTGTTTGCTAGAAAAACGTATTGTATATTAGCATATGAATTGCTGTAACCTCTCCTTGAATTCACTTGATCACAAAACTCTTTTGGTAGCTCATGTATCATTATGGGACACCCATCACAAACAAAGTTTGAGAAAACCGTGCTAGAGTGTTACGCGTAGACCCCAGGAGAGATTGGCAGCTCTTTTTACGTTGCTCTTGGTTGATAAATTGTGCCTCTCCACATGCTGCTCAGAAGGAGGCTAGAGAACATCAGGCTCAAGACTCCAGCTCTTTGTCACTACTTGTGAAGTTATGATCCCTTTTAAAAATTTACCTTCTGTTTTGGGGGCGCCTGGGTGGCTCAGTCGGTTAAGTGGCCGACATCAGCTCAGGTCATGATCTCGCAGTTCGTGCATTCGAGTCCCATATTGGGCTCCGTGCTGACAGCTCAGAGCCTGGAGCCTGCTTTGGATTCTGTGTCTCCCTCTCTTTGTCCCTCCCTCGCTTGCACTCTCTCTCTCAAAAATAAATGAACATTAAAATAAAAAATATTTTTTTAAATTTTGCCTTCTGTTTTAGGTATTTGGGAATAAGATGATCATTCCTTCCCTGGATGGAGACCTCTTTCAGTGGGACCGGGACCGTGAGAGCATGGAAACTGTTCCTTTTACAGTTGAATCGCTTCTTGAATCTTCTTATAAATTTGGAGACGATGTTGTTTTGGTTGGAGGAAAGTCTCTCACTACCTACGGACTCAGTGCATATAGTGGAAAGGTGAGTGAAAATGTTGGATTATTTGGGGAGGAATCAGAATAAATAGGGCGAGAGGAAATAACTTAATAAGCTATACTATTACTGGCTGAGGTTTATTATTTTTCCCTGAGGATATTATTTGTTTGAATAAATGAATTACAAAGTAGAAAGGGCAAAATATTATTAAGAAAACTAAATGTATCCGAGACAACAGAATAAACAGCAGAGCCAGGAAAAGCAGGAGGAAGAGAACGAATCAATAAGGTCTAGTGTGTGTCAGTTGTGTTTTTCATACATTATATTGAAATCTTCATGATGTTCCTAGAGGTCACACATTCTTGTTTCCATTTGGACAGATGAAGAACCCTCCAAATATTAATAATAATCCCAATAAGAATAATTACTACTTATTTATCTAGTTTGATCCTGTAATCCAAGAGGAAGGTTGTGTTTATTTTACAGATGAGAAAACTTGAAACTTTAAAAGTTGAGAAATTTCCAAGGTTCAATTTGACTTAGGTCTGTGTGCAGAAAAAGTTATACCATTAAGACCCAGACTCTCTCTAATGTTAGGTTTCAGGATATAACCATCATCTGCTTCTAAGATTGGTCTTACAATATAAATCTCTTATTAGGAGTAACTAATTAAATACATCCTTTTTAGAAAGGTAAAAGTCTTGGGATGCCTGGGAGGCTCAGTCAGTTAAGTGTCTGACTTCCGGCTCAGGTCATGATCTCACAGTTAGTGAGTTCGAGCCCCGCGTCGGGCTCTGTGCTGACTGCTCAGAGCCTGGAGCCTGTTTCGGATTCTGTGTCTCCCTCTCTCTCTGCCCCTTATGGGCTTATGCTCTGTCTCTCTTTCCTTCAAAAATAAATAAACATTAAAAAAATTGATTTTTTAAAGAAAGGTAAAAATCTTTTTTTTTTTTAACTCTTAACCTTGATATGTGAATATTTTGTATATAGACTTAAGACTAGAACAAGGAAGAAGAGAAAAATGACCTTTTGCCCCTTGACTTTCTCACACGTTAACGATTCCTTACTTAAGTGTTAGGCCCATAGCCCCCTCTTGCTCTTGCAGATGCTTTTCTGCCTTCTCCACTACCCACATCTGCTTTGTACTGAGGAGGCCTTGTGACCCTCTATCTCCTTCAGTATTCTCATCTCTGTGACAGTGGAATTGACCCCTATCGTCTGGTTCTCTATTTGATGTGCTGCTGCAAAATTCGGGTATTCTAGCACATGTGCTTCTTTCTGTGAAGATTTTAGCTCAGATCATACTAAGAGTCCTTCTTTGTTTTTCTAATGAAGGTTTGAAGGAGGTACTTTTAAATAGTATGGCTACTAAAAGAGATTTACGTCTTTAAAAACCAAATTCTTCCATCATATGGGAACTCTGAGGCCAATTTTTTTTAATACACCTGGACTTTTGTTAATGAAATTATTGCTAAGAGATCACAACCGTTTATGTCTTCTCGTGTATCATCCTTGAAAATCCCCCAAATAAAACTAAAATTATCTAAATCCTTAAAATAAGGATTTTCCCTTAATAATTCCAGAAATATTTATTGTTTCTTTTGTAGTTCTAAGTAACTCATTTTTGGAATTGGTAGCCTAACCGATGTTTCTTAATACTTGGGTATTACAGATCCCCACAATTTTTTTATAAATTATATAGATTCTTTTAATATCTCCGATCTCCTGTAACTTATGTATTCTTTACAAAATTTCTATCTGTCTTTTCAGGTGAGGTATATCTGCTCAGCTTTGGGTTGTCGCCAGTGGGATAATGATGAAATGGAACAAGAAGACATCCTGCTTCTGCAGCGCTCCCAGAAAACTGTTAGAGCTGTTGGACCTCGCAGTGGCAATGAGAAGTATGTATTCAGATGATGTGGCTGTTGATCATTAGTTCAGCAAAACCCAAATTTATCAGATTTTTTTCTTTATGGAAATTTCCTGAACTGTTTTCTTGCCCGAAAAACACACAGCTCTGTTAAGAGAAATGTAGGCCCTAAATTAAAAATGGCCTCATGGGGGCCACGTGGGTGGCTTGGTCGGTTAAGCATCTGACTCCGGCTCAGGCATGATCTCACGGTTTGTGGGTTCGAGCCCCACATCGGGCTCTCTGCTGTCCGCGCAGAACCTGCTTCCAATCCTCTGTCCCCCTCTCTCTCTGGCCCTCCCCTGTGCGCAAAACACGTGCCCCCTCTCTCAAAAATAAACATTTAAAAATAAATAAATAAATATAAATGGTCTCGAGGTTTTTAACAAATCCTGAATTGAGACTCCCACCATATGCTTCTGGAGATGATAACCAGAGGAAGGCCCATACAATGAATGTAGCAACCTCACTGATCATACAGATCAGTGAAAAGCTCTTAAGACAAAGTTAATGCACTTTATTTCAGCTTGGGCCTCTTTGACCCTGTAGTTCTCTCTAGTCAGTAGTTTCATAGTGTGTTTGACAACCCAATTTTAAAATAACATTTTTGTCTATTTTCTTAAAGCGTTGAAGTATAATTCATTTGGTCAAATGCCTTTTTGTTTCCCTTTTCAAATAATGAGTTCCTTATGTAATTTTTACATTTAAATATGGGATTAAAAACCAAGATGGTTGGATTACTTATGTTGGTCCTAAATCACATGCTTGATTTTTTTTTAACCTACCTAATATTTAAATTTTAACTTGCCTCTGTAGTAAAAATAATTTGAGATCTCATCTTTATCTTTTGAAAGTGAACCAGATTTTCAGATATTATCTAATGTGATGCAATATAATTCAGCTTCCTTTACTGTTTTCTTAAAATCAGTTAAGAATGTATTTCTATGTTCACTGGACTGTGAGTAGGGCTTTGCATCTGCTGGCAATCTGACCTTCTTTTTCCTGATGGGATTTTGTTTCCTTTTTTTAAAAAATGTTTTTAATGTTTATTTATTTTTGAGGGAGAGAGAGAGCAGGCAGGGGAGGGGTAGGGAGAGGGAGACAGAGGATCCAAAGCGGACTGTGCTGACAGCCACCCAGGCGCCCCTGGGATTTCGTTTCCTTAAGTGTTTGAGTGCTTGCTGGGTGTCCAGCCACCAACAGGAACAGATGTCCATCTCAACAGAATTTTGAGTTACCAAAATAAGAAGAGTCTGGGGTCTAAGATCCATGTTCCTTAAGTTTATTTTTTAATAGATGTCATGATTATTAGGTCATTTTCTATCTCAGTGACAAGTCATTATACTGTCAAAAGTTAAGTGATCTGTGTATTAATTGTAGAAGAAACATTGTTACTGCCACTTTATGGATGAGGACACTGAAATTCAGGAAAGGTTCAATGACTTGACAGATCTCGGGAGAGATTGGAGATTGGAGCTGAGGTGGTATGACCTTCAGTCTTGGTACACTGAATTACATTGCCTTTTGGGGCTATGTTTTCATATAAATACAAAACCGATGCATTTATCTTGCTGTGTACATTGATTTATTGGGACGAATTAATTTCTCTGCACTTGAATGAAATGTGCCCAGGCTTTAATTTAATTGACAAAGCACACTGCTGCTGGCCTCATTTTAAGGTAACTTTGGTGTGTGTTGAGAAAATCGCTCTGATTTGGAAATGTGAACATTTGTTAATTTTTGAGAGAAAATCTGTCCCATAGCCATTGTCAGTTTACAACTCAGATCCCAGGTTTCTAACAGATCAGGACAAGGTGATGCCCTCTTGTGGCCTAAATCAGCAAAGCACTCCCAGAAAATTGTGTTGAGTTATTCTTTGTCTCCTCACAAAATTTTAGTGTTTGCTTCTTGAATCTGGAACAGTTCTTTATGATTTGATCCCTTTCCTTAAGTGTAAATTTCTAAAACAAACCTTTGTAAATTTAAGGTGGAATTTCAGTGTTGGCCACTTTGAACTTCGGTATATTCCAGACATGGAAACTAGAGCCGGATTTATTGAAAGCACCTTAAAGCCCAGTGGGAACAAAGAAGGGTCTAAAATTATTTCAGATGTGGAAGAACAGGAAGCTGCCATGATGGACACAGTGATAAAGGTGTCGGTTGCAGACTGGAAGGTTATGGCGTTTAATAAGAAGGGAGGACATCTGGAATGGGAATACCAGGTACCTAAACCCACCGAGAATTTATAAATACGTTGTTTTCCTTTCCCAGTTTGACCAAACTTATCGGGTAGAGGGAAATATCTATCATTTTAGATTCTCAGCCTGTTCTCTCTGCCCTAAGAAATGTGCGGCTCTACACCCGTTAGGATGGCTACTCTGAAAAAGGCTACAGAAAACAAGTGCTGGTGAGGGTGTTCGCAGTCTCGTGCGCTGCTGCTGAGAGCGTAAATGGGCACAGCCGTATGGAAGACAGCACGGAGGGGCTTTGAAAAGTTAAAAAGAAAACTACCATATGATCCAACAGTCCTATTTCTGAATATATTCAAAGGAAGTGAAATCAATATCTCGAAGAGATATCCGCAGTGCCATGTTCAGTGCACCATTATTCACCATAACCAAGATAGAGACGCAGTCTAAGCGTCCATAGTAAGGCATGGGTAAGGAAAATGGGGTGCGTGTATATACGCAGTGAGCTATTATTCAGCCTTAAGGGGGGGAGATCCTGTCACTTGTGAAATCGTGGATGAACCTGGAGGACATTATGCTAAGTGAAATAAGCCAGGCCCAGAAAGGTAAACAGTGCATGATCTCCTGCATGTAGAATTTTAAAAGCTGAACACACAGAGCAGTGAGTAGAATGGTAGTTGCCAGGGGCTGGGGAGCAGGAGAAATCGAGAGATGTTGGTCAAAGAGTACAGAGTTTCGGTTATGCAGGATGAATAAGTTCTGTGGATGTAATGTACAGTGTGGTGACTATAGTTAATGGTACTATATACTTGAAATTTGCTGAGGGTAGATTAAAAAAATTTTTTTTCTTTGTTGAGGTATAATTGGTGAATAAAAACCATGTACATTTGAGCTACACAGTGTGATGATTTGATATATGTATATGTTGTGAAATGAGGGTAGATTTCAAATGTTGACGCGAAAATAATGATGTGAGGCGATGGATATGTTAATTAGCTTGATTGTGCTAATCGTCTCACAGTGTATATACTGTATCAAAATATGGCATTGTATACTGTAAATATATACATTTTTTATTTGTCGATTATACCTCATAAGCTGGAAAAATTTTTACAATTGTGATTTTTAAATGTCATTTTAGGAGTTGAATTATGTAAATACTGCTTGAAATTCTATAAAATTTCTTGTCCATTTTTGTTTAGTTTTGTACTCCCATTGCATCTGCCTGGTTGGTTAAGGACGGAAAAGTCATTCCCATCAGTCTTTTTGATGATACAAGTTATGCATCTAATGATGAGGTTTTAGAAGATGAAGAAGACATTGTAGAAGCTGCTCGAGGAGCCACAGAAAACAGCGTTTACTTGGGTGAGTAGATGTCTCTTATCTAGTGACAGGACATACTGACGTTTAGGTTTTATTCCTACATCATTCCTTTCTACTTCAGCGGTGCCTATAGTAGTTGTAATTCCTAAATACAGTCTCTGGCTTAGGTTGCCCTTAAGATTTATACTTTGATTTACATTCCTGTTTTTTTCCATTTATCCACTTCTTTTTTTTTTTAATTTTTTAATGTTTATTTATTCTTGGAGGAGAGAGAGAGTGAGTGAGCATGAGTGGGGAAGGGGCAGAGAGAGAGGGAGACAGATGATCCAAGCAGGCTCCGCACTATCAGCACAGAGCCCGATGTGGGACTCAAATTCACGAACCATGAAATCATGACCTGAATCGAAGTCGGACGTTGAACTGACCGAGCCACAGGTGCCCCATCCATTTATCCAATTCTGAAACTTTCAATTACCATGGCATATTCTTTTCCTCTGAGACCTATATCAGAAAGGCTTAGAGGGGCACCTGGGCAGCTCAGTCAGTCAAGCGTCTGACTTAGACTCAGGTCATGATCTCGCAGTCCGGTCTGTGAGTTTGAGCCCCGTGTTGAGTTCTGTGCTGACAGCTCAGAGTCCGGAGCCTACTTCAGATTCTGTGTCTCCCTGTCTCTCTTCCCCTCCCCTGCTTGCACTCTGTCTCTCTCTCTCAAAAATAAATAAACATTAAAAAAAAAAAAAAAAAAAAAAAAAAAAAAAAAAGGCTTAGAAATGTTGCTGGGGCTCCTGGGTGGTCAGTTGGTTAAGTGTCTGACTTTGACTCAGGTCATGATCTCATGGTTCGTGGGTTCAAGCCCCGGCTTGGGCTCTCTGCTGTCAGCACAGACCCTGCTTTGGATCCTCTGTCCCTCTCTTTCTCTGCCTCTCCCCCATTCGAGTGCACGTGTGCATGCATATGTGCTCGCTCTCTCAAAAATAAACATTAAAAAAAAGAGAGAAAAAAACTTTAAAAAAAGAAAGAAATGTTGCCATCATACAGTATGTTGTGAATTACTCATATATCCTCAGAGTCTAAAACTTTCTACGTTTGTACTTGCATCTGGATTAATTGCCTTGAACTTCCCTACTAGAAGAGTTTTCCAGTAATTGCTGAAAATTATTATTCAGTGAGAAACATTGTAAATTATATATAACTTTCCGCCCCTATTTTTGTTTGGGTCACATTTGAGTGCTTCGGGCTTGATTCTTCTTTGAAAAGCATTTTGTAGCACATAAAGAAATACCTGGAATTAATCTAATTTTATTAAATCAAAATGACCCTTTTTGAAAAAAATCCTTGGTGCTTTATTCTAAACATAATTGATACTGTTTTCATTGACTCAGGAATGTACAGAGGTCAGCTGTATCTGCAGTCATCAGTCAGAATTTCAGAAAAGTTTCCTACAAGTCCCAAGGCCTTGGAATCTGTCAATAATGAATATGCAATTGTTCCTTTGCCAACAATCAAATGGAAGCCCTTAATTCGTAAGTGAATTAGGAACTTTTGTAATATTAGTGAGGTGTTCAGAGGCCTAATCATGACTGTCTTTGTCCTGGTATTGAATAGCACAGAGATTACAACTCATAGGTACTCTTTATTTTCTGACAAACTAGGAAGGCATTTGAGATGTCAGTGAATTTTAATTATCTTTTACATGATTTCATTGAAATAACAGCTGCTTCTAGAGAAATCAGTTGTTACCAAGATATTTCTCCAGACAACAGAGAAATATTCTTAACCGTTCACTGACTGTGACTGAGTATCATTTAGCTTTTAACATATTTACGCTAAGAATATTTATGAAAAATTGCTTCTCGGCCTTTTGGCTAAGGTCAAGTGAAGAATACTTATTATGAGACATTATCTGGTTATTACAGCATATTCTATGAGACACTTAAATGAGTTGAATGCAGATATTAGACCACCTACTTCCTTCAGTTATCTTTCTGTAGCTTGTGTAGTTTTTTATCACATACATCACGTCCTATTTTAATTACTTGTTTAAATGACTCAGCTTCTCTACAAGGCTGTGCTTTTCGGGGGGAAAGACCTTTGAGCCATTTGTGTGACTTAACATATTTGAACATTTTGTGACTTAACATATTTGTGGCTGAATATCTGTGTTTGGAATGAATGAGGTTCACGCAATTTCCCTGAAGCCTTAACATGTAAGATTTTACCATTTTCTTTCAGATTCCCCGTCCAGAACTCCTGTCTTGGTAGGGTCTGATGAATTCGACAAATGTCTTAGCAACGATAAGTTTTCTCATGAAGAGTACAGCAACGGTGCGCTTTCAATCTTGCAATACCCATATGGTGAGTGTGAGGAAGCTTGCATTGAAAATGCTGAGGTGTTTCTTTGCATTTATTTATTCCTTTGAAATGAATGGTTGCAATTCAAATGAAAGGTAGTCATTGGAAGGTAGAAAATAAAATATCTTGGGAGGCATAGTGTGAATGGTGGCCAAGGGTACGGGTTCCATAGTTAGATTGTTAGGGTTCAAATCCCAGTTTTGCCCCTGACACCAGGTTGGGCACACCCAGCTTATCTGCATCTTCGTTCCTTCATCTGTAAAGCGAGGATAGTAATCCTAGTATTTATCTACTGGGCTGTTATGAGGCCTAAATGAGATAGATAATACACATACAGTCTTAGCTAGCAGGGTGTCCTGCAAATAGTATTCAATAAGCATTCATTCTGGTGATTAGCTCTCATTTAGTTAAAAGCCTATTTAATATAAACTACATGATATCAGCCTGGATAATGAAGAAAACAGATGTTTCCCATAATACTGTGTGAAATGCTATAAAATGAGGGGATGTTAATTTTGTCCTTCGACAGGGGAAATTAGCGCAAAAGTAAGAGGAGGTAAAATTTGACATGAAATACATTCCTGGGTATTTTTTTTTTTTTTCAACGTTTATTTATTTTTGGGACAGAGAGAGACCGAGTATGAATGGGGGAGGGGCAGAGAGAGAGGGAGACACAGAATCGGAAACAGGCTCCAGGCTCCGAGCCATCAGCCCAGAGCCCGACGCGGGGCTCGAACTCACAGACCGTGAGATCGTGACCTGGCTGAAGTCGGACGCTTAACCGACTGCGCCACCCAGGCGCCCCCATTCCTGGGTATTTAAAGTTAGGATGTATTTAGATATGAAAGTATTCCCAACAGTTACATGTTAAGAAAAACTCTCAAATCTGCATTAGGCCAAAGCATAGATTCCTCATCAGTCACCCTAGATGCTGGAACTGGGAAGTTATTGTAGAATTTAAATTGACAAAAACAGAAGGCTCTGACCTAGAAACATCAGTCTTTATCTGATGCTGATCAGAACACAAGGTAAGAGAGAATCGTGTAGTCTGTCCACGTGGTACAAAATAGAAGCCAAAAAGACAGGTTGCTTCCCAGGACAACCTCATTCTGACAGCGTGAAATGAACCAATGAGCGCGTTGGAGATGTTTTCTTTTCAGTTTGCGAAGAATGACTGATGGTATTTCATTGGTGTCTAAATGGAAGTAAAGTTTAAAATCCTTGGAGGAAGACTGAGTACTGTCTAACTCTCCCGAATTTAAAGAATTGAATTATTCAATGAGGTAATGAATGGGGTGGCCCTTAAGCTTTCTTTCTAGTCTTATTATTCAGTACAAAGAAGATCTGTGATGCTTATGGAATAAAGGAAAATAGGTTTGTATAAGAAAAAAGAAAAAGTAGGGTAATGAGGCTATCGAAATGTGTTAAAGAAGAGATGAAACTTTAATGAAAGGAATTGGTGATAGAAGTGACAGGAAAATAGAGGATTTTTTAACAATTAAAGGTGGCTCTATATTGGTTTATCTTTAAAAAAAAAAAAACTTTTTAACCTTTGTTTTTGAAGATAATGGTTATTACCTACCATACTACAAGAGGGAGAGGAGCAAACGGAGCACACAGATCACAGTCCGATTTCTCGATAACCCAAATTACAACAAGAACATTCGCAAAAAGGATCCCGTTCTCCTCTTACACTGGTGGAAAGAGATAGTCGGAACTATTCTATTTTGTATCATAGCAACAACTTTCATCGTGCGTAGGCTTTTCCATCCTCATCCTCACAGAGTAAGACCTTTTTTAGAATTCTAATGTATCTCAGAGTGTGGGGTAAATAATGTGTGGGGGTGGGGAAGAGGGTACTACATTTACTTAGCTTTACCATGAAATCATTATTGCCCATCCCTTCCTGTCCACTGACCTACGACCCCTTCGCTCCTCAACCCACTGCAATCTGTCTTGCACCCCTACCATTTCACTTCCCACTGACCAAGGAAATGCTGCATTTTGTGTTCTCACAATACGCTTATTTTTGCCCATATTGTTTACCTTTTTAACGTTACTTTATAGTTTAAGATAGTCAGCTAACTTCAGTTTTGACAGTGATTTTTCTCCCCACCTTACCAGCAAAGGAAGGAATCGGAAACTCAGTGTCAGACTGAAAGTAAATATGATTCTGTAAGTGGAGACGCCAAGGACAGTAGCTGGAATGACATAAAAAATTCTGGGTATATATCGCGGTAAGTCTTACCATAAAGTATATGTGTGTGTGGTGCAGCTTCTGGTGGCAACTGTTGGAATCAAAGAAGAAATGACCTCTAAACTAAGATCCTGTTTAACTTTTTTTTAGTGTATTTATTTTGAGAGAGAGAGAGAGAAAATGAGAACAAGCGAGGGAGGGGCAGAGAGAGAGGGGAACAGACGATCTGAAGCAGGCTCTGCATTGACAGCACAGAGCCTGATGCGGGGCTCAGACTCACAAACGGTGAGATCATGACCTGAGCCGAAGTCAGACACTTAACCCACTGAGCCACCCAGGTGCCCCTAACTTTTTTTTTTTAATGCACAAATGTCCAGGTAAGTAAAACATAGATTTAACCCTCAAGTAACTTAAACTTATTCAAAGTGGTATGTACCCTAAGAAAGATAAAAATAGAGTGTTATAGAAGTTCAGAATTTCAGCCGCCAAATTAAGTTCTTACCAGAACTTAATTTAGCTATGGAGGATCTACCACGTACTGGGCTCGTCATTAATAGTACCAAATTGTTATTGTGTTATTAGAGTATGGTATAAATCTCTATATGTTACTTAATCCTCAATTATTTATTTCATCCTTATTCTGTCTAGAATAAGAAATAGAAAAATGGGGGGAATGCACCAATAGGTCACTTTTAAAAATAGAAGAGGGAGGTGAGTCACCTAAAAAGTAGGCAAGTCAAATAATTTGAAAGTAAAATAAAAGGGAGAATCTGTTAGCATCTATTAGGTATATAGTTTTTTATGCTTTGTGGTACAGGGAATGGTACTGTGGTTCATTTTTCAATTACATGGTTTATTTCTGTGTTTTCCCTTTGTTTTGATATCATACTTAACACTTGGTAATATGGAAACAAGGAAGAGATACAGAACCTCACTGTTCAATACCTAGGGTAATGATTTGATGACAGAAAGATTGAAAATTACAGCTAAAACATGTGATACTTTATCTGTGGACCTAATTGATCTACGGTGCATTCATACTGTATTATGACAAATGGAGAATTGACTGTAATCAATTTGTTTTAGCTACAAGTTGCCCAAAGGAGAATTTACTAGGTGACTAAGAAATGGCAAAGGCTTTAGTACCCTTCTAATAAAGAGGCTAACCAATATGTCAGTGGACAGCAACACCAGCAGGTAGAGAGAGGGAGCGAACTAGGGACCCAACAGCTCTTCATCGGGTAGAGTCCACTACTGAAGCCATTCATTGTTCATTCAACATTTACTCTAAACAACCGAGCACAGGAAAGTATTCCAGGCTTTGGGAAAAACAAAAGGACTAGTCCTATCCTGAAGGGGCTTAAAATCTATGAGAGAAGATAATACGGGGCAAAACGGAAACATACAAGAAAAAAGCCGTGAACTATAAATGACTCAGTCTGGTTGTGATGATTCTGTAAGTGGAGAAGAGGTTGTCCTAAACGACCATTTTCATTGGCCAAATGTCATATGGTCACATTTTCATTGAACCTTAGATTGTGAGTAAGGAAGAATTAGGTAAACACAGGGAGGAATGGGGATTAGTGAATAAGCATATATATCTGTAAGGCTGTTGTGAAGAGAATTAGAATAATGTACTCTGAAATTGAATTAGACTTTATTTTCCTTTAACTTTATTCAATATGGAGAGTACAGCTGATTGTTTTTCAAATACATAAGCTCTATAATAATACCTAATGTTTATTGAATGCCTACTATATTGTAGGCATTATAAAGAACCTGAGCTCTGGGTCCAGTCATGAGTTCAAGACCCAACTTTGTGATTTATCAGTTGGGACCTTAGGCATGATGATACTTACCTTTATAGAGTCTATAATCTTAAATAAGATGTCTCTCATTTCAGATGATATATTTATTTTCATATGGATGTTTTCTTTAATATAGGGCAAAAGTCAATTGGCCCTTCAGAAGTAGGGTATGGATTTCATGGGCTTTGGGCTTTGTAGCTGGGGAGATGGATTTGTACCAAAGTGCCTTGACTAGCTATTTTTAGGGATACAGAGTATTGTTCTTCATTCTCTGTGAAGGTAATTGGCCCATGGAGGATTTGGATCAATTGCTTCTCCTCCTTAACTCCGTGCTCTAGCCAGCTGAGCCAGCTGCTAAATTAATAGGAGTGTGCAAATCATAAAGTAATAAACTTAGCCTTATGAGAGACACTAAAGATAATCTAATCTAATTCAACTACTCCCCATCTGCCTGGAGAACAACTTCATAGCAGGCATGCATGCATTCATTTATTTTTTCGTATATTGTTCGATACATATTTGTTAGATCTTCTGTTTGCCAGGTAAGCTCAGCCTCTGGAAATACAAAGAGAAACAAGAATGCTTTCCTGCATTCAAGGCCGCCACAGTTCAGCGGCAGTGGGGAGAGTGAGCTGAGTACGAATAACTGCAAAATACCGAGATTACGTTTAAGTAGTTCAGAGTACTGTGTGAACAGTGCTATGAGAACATTAAGACGGGTGTAGGAAGGCCCTACGGCAATGGCGAGATGAGCAGAATGAAGGAAAAACAAGAGTTTCATTAAGTACAAAGAAGTAGGCCATCTCAGCAGAGCAAATAGCAGAAGCAGAAGTGCGAAGTTGTGAGACCTCGTGCAGGCTGGCTGGAACACAGCACAGAGCGGTGAGGTCGGGCGCGGAAGGGAGACCAGACTACAGTGTGCAGCCCGGCCTTTAAGTCACAGATGCTGAGTTAGCCGGTGATGAGCACACTGACTCAGGAGGCATCCCAGCCAATTGCAGACATCTTTGGTTCCTAGAAAGATTTCTGGCCAAAAAAAACCCCAAAAAACAAAAAAAACACTTAAATATAATAGGATTGATTACATTTTTTGCCATAAAAATGCACTGACATAGGATTAAACTGTGTTTTTCTCATTGAGTACAGAATGCCACAGGAGGCAGAAGTTTAGAGAATTAAGGATGGAATATTTTGGTAGGTGATGGAAAGTATCAGACAGGTTAGATCAGTAGTGTGGTTGCTATAAAAACAAGTGATTAACAGGTGATTCCCAACTAAACAGGAGCTTTTTTATTTTTTATACATTTTCTTGGAAAAAATTAGAATGGGTTTGCTTCATTTATATAAACAGAAGAACAAAGAATGCTAGTAGTAGAATTTAAACTACACTCTGAGGGCACCTGGCTGAGTCAGTTGGTGGAGCACGTGACTCTTGATCTTAGGGTCATGAGTTCAAGCCCCACGTTGGGGTTAGCATTTACTCAAATAAATAATTAAAAAAAAAACACACAAACCCTACACTTTCTATTAAAATAAGTTCTATAAGACTTACAGAGTTTAGACATTTTTTATACATCATAAAATAAGATTGAACTATTACCTTATTAAAATTTCTTTTTTTTTTTTAAAGATATCTAACAGATTTTGAGCCGGTTCAGTGCCTGGGACGCGGTGGGTTTGGAGTTGTCTTTGAAGCCAGAAATAAAGTTGATGACTGCAATTATGCTATCAAGAGAATCCGTCTCCCCAACAGGTAAGGGAGGGGCACTGATAATGAACCTGGAGCTAGGACCATATTACTCATCCCACAGGCAATACATCCTTCTTCCTATACTCCATAGATCCTATAGGAAACATAGTTTCTGACCTTCTGAATCTTAGCTTCTGAGGGCTACCAGGTAACCAGCTGTCTAAAAGGGGTGATCTAGGGGCACCTGGGTGGCTGGCTCAGTCAGTTGAGCATCCGACTTCAGCTCAGGTCATGATCTCACAGTTCGTGAGTTCGAGCCCCGCATCGGGCTCTGTGCTGACAGCTCAGAGCCTGGAGCCTGCTTCCGATTCTGTGTCTCCCTCTCTCTCTGCCCCTCCCCTGCTCATGCTCTGTCTCTCTCTCTGTCTCAAAAAAAAGTAAATAAAACATTAAAATAAAAAAATTTTAAAAAGATTAATAAAAGGGGTGATCTATTTATTTTTTTAATGTTTATTTATTTTGAGAGAGAGAGAGAGCATGAGCAAGAGAGAGGAAGAGAAAGGATCCCAAGCAGGCTTCACACCTTCAGCACAGAGACCAGTATGGGTCTCGATCCCCCAAACTGTGAGATAATGACCTGAACCAAAACCAAGAGTTGGACATTCAATCAGCTGAGCCACCCAGATGCCCTGGGGTGATCTATTGAGATTGCTTTGTCTCTACTTAGAAAATCTGCCCTTGTTTTTGATTCTTAACCACTCAGGGCTTTCCCACAATGAATTATGATGACTGTAGACTTTACTACGTAGCACCATTTAGAAATTATGTATTTATTGTGGGAAACAGAGAAAGTTATTAAAACTCATTTGTGTCTTTTCTCCCCAGAAATATTATTACCATGTTAGGGTGTTTCCTTTTGATTTTTTTGTCTGATCATAAATTTACTTTCTTAGTAGCATAGTTACCAGTACAGTACAGTTTTATCTGTTGCTTCCTTCATTTAATTCTTGGTGTTTTACATGTTATTAAGAGTATTTTATTAAAATGCTAAAATACACTACAAGTATCTTATGGCTGGATGATAGTTCAACTGATACATGTGAAATATTTTAACTGTTCCTTTTTTTGTTTTTTTTTAAACATTTGTGTTTCAAATTTGTTGTAGTTAAAAACAGCTTTGCAGTGTTCATCTTTATTTATTTATTTGTCTTTTTAAATGTTTATTTTTTTAATGTTTATTTATTTTTGAGAGAAAGAGAGAAAGAGACAGAGTGTGAGTGGGGGAGGGACAGAGAGAGAGGGAGACACAGAATCCGAAGCAGGCTCCAGGCTCTGAGCTGTCAGCACAGAGCCCGACATAGGGCTTGAACTCACGAACTGCGAGATCATGACCTGAGCCGAAGCCGGACGCTTAACCGACTGAGCCACCCAGGCGCCCCTTGTTCATCCTTAATATAAATGTTTTACCACATCTGCTTCCTTAGGATAGATTCCTGGAAGTAGGATTTCTGACTCAGAACAGTGTCATGCTTAAGATGATTGCCTTTGAGTAATGCCTTCTTTTCCATCTATTTTAGCATGCTCCTATTGGTTCTTGATTAAATGTGCACTGATTGCTCAGTGTCCTTGTAACTGGTAGTTAAACATTCTGTCCAACAGATAGGGACACAGGACTGGGATGGATTTGTGTACTATGTGACTAATTCTTCTCTTTGATATATAATTTTTGAGTAGTTTGCATATTCATATGTGTAAGTTACCACGTAGGATATGAAATTAAGCAAAACTTCTGTCCCCGAGAACCAATAACTCTTCGAAGCTTTTGTGTACATACAAAATAATTTTGTGTTGGGGCGCCTGGGTGGCGCAGTCGGTTAAGCGTCCAGCTTCAGCCAGGTCACGATCTCGCGGTCCGTGAGTTCGAGCCCCGCGTCAGGCTCTGGGCTGATGGCTCGGAGCCTGGAGCCTGTTTCCGATTCTGTGTCTCCCTCTCTCTCTGCCCCTCCCCCGTTCATGCTCTGTCTCTCTCTGTCCCCAAAATAAATAAAAACATTGAAAAAAAAATTAAAAAAAAAAATTTTGTGTATATACAGATAATTACAATACAAGGAAGACTGTTACCTGGTGGCCTAGATTAGTAAATAGCTTCCCATGACAAAAGTGCAGATGTAGCTGAAATCAAGGAAGGCCAGCTTTATGGAGGTGGTGACATCTGGGCTGGGTGTTCAAGAGTAGCCTGCCTCTCAGTAGACGGATGTGTGAGGGAGGGATGTCTCACTACACAGATGGCCCGAGAAGGGCTCTAGGGAAAGCACTTGGAGGTGGCACAGAGAACAGTGAGCATTCTGGCGTGGGTGGAGTAAAGGGTAAGGATGGGGGAGTGTGGAGGAGATGTAAGATGTGGGTTTCAGGACCTTACATGCCAAGCAAGGGGGTTAGACTTTGTTTCGTAGACAGTTGGGTCTTTGAGTAGAGAGGTGACGTGATCAAAGTGGAGGTGGCTCTGGAGGTGGTACGTATAAGTGGCTGACATGAGGAAAGGGTCAGAGATAAATGTTTGTTAGGTTTTAGGTTTGGGTGTTTTGGGGTTTTTTTTTTTTTTTTTTTTTTTTTTTTGTAAGTTTAGTCCTAAGATGTGGAACATTTGTGCGCAGTAGTGGGGACGGGTGAGAAACGAGTGAGTGTAATGAATTGAAAAGGAAGAGCTGATAGGACTTGGTAACTGAAGGTGGGGACCTAGAAGTTGAAGAACTCAAAAATATAGCAGGATTCTCAGATTGGGAGAGTAGGACAACAACAGCCAAGCACAGAGGGCAGAGTGGGAGTGGCCACCCATCTCCTGGGGAGAGAGGAGGACGTCACTTGCATTCATTATGTTGTTTCAGGTGATAGTGGGATCCCTAGATATGTGAGATTAGATCCATCAGAAAAGCCGTCACAGCAGAAAATCGAATCCAGATGCTTTTCTTTTTAAAAAAATTTTTTACACTTTTATTTATTTATTTTGAGAGAGACAGAGACAGCGTGAGCTGGGGAGGGGGAGAGAGAGAGGGAGAGGGAGAATCCCAAGCAGGAGAATCCCATGCGCTGTCAGCACAGAGCCTGATGTGGAGCTTGAACTCCCAAACCTTGAGATCATGACCTGAGCCAAGAGCCAGACACTTAACCAACTGAGCCATCCAGGCGACCCAGCAGACCCTTTTCTAATACACTTCATTGCCTGTGATATTCAGTATGTGAGACTTG